ACATGTTGGCAAGACTTGAAAATGATAAAAGCATTTTTTTTCTTTGTAGTAGATATAACCCAGAGCCAAATAGTCAACCCTGCATTAATTTTAGGACATCAATTTGAACCCCTTCTGAGCCAAAAATAATATTGTTTCTTAAATAGAACCCTTAAGCCTAAACACTATTTATCTACATTCTTATATTTGAGAAAGGAAATGAGTATGAATGTCACTATTTTTCTTATTGTTGGGTATTGCTATTGTTGTCCTACAGGTATTATTGGGGTGTTATTCTTGTTAAAAAAAAAGGTGTAAAGAAAAAGGAAAAGCGAAGCTTAAAAAAATTGGCAAAGCCAAAAAGAATACATGCAAAAGCATGAGAAAAAAAATATAGAAAAGTAGTTTAAGGGGGAAATAATAACTTGTGAGATCATTAACTCACTGTCATTGTGTTAGGGACAAAAGCATGAAGTCTGAAACCCGACTTGAGGAAATATTAAACAGGAATCATTCATATGAGTTGAATTTCTCAAATATTTTTGTATATCCCAGAAAAACCAATAATTCTTTCTTAGCACAGCCCCATTACAAGTCTCAAAAGACCTTTTGATTTAAGTCTTGTTTAACAATTGTTGATTGCTTGAAAATGATTATCAATATTGAATTGTCTAAATGAAGTGATTGAATGAGATAAACACTTACCTGTAAGAATTAGAGATGAGTATATATAACTCTATTTGAGAGATCATGCTTCTCTGAGGATATTTGAAGACTAATTATTCTTTGTTGGTTTGTATAACTTAAATGCTTATGTGTTCTATTTTCATTTGGAGTTGTGAGCATCACCTCTGAAAATTTTTATGTATGGTTCTGGAAGAGAAAGTGATAATAGGCGATGGTTTTGTTTTGGAAAAATTACTTTTCTTGGGACAAACAAGATTCTAGGTTGGGGGAAGTTGTTAAGTGGTAAAAAGTTAATATAATTATGTCTTGAATTGTTATGAAATCACTTAACTTATGTTAATTCTATTATATTTTTCTCCCAATATAGGATGAATTCGAAAATATCTTGATAAAAGAGTAAGGAGCATAATTGTCAGCATAATTGGAGTAAAATTAAAAGAAAGAAGAACGCTTAAGCGAATGAAAGATGCGAGACCCAGCCCAAATTCTCTTATAAAAATATATGTTGTGTTTTGAGAAAACAAAGCAGTCTTGGAGAGGAGGAGGCACTACTACTGTTAGGGTTTTGTCTAATCTTCATCAATTCTTCACTTCTTCATCAATTGGAGCATTGTAATGGCCAACATGAGTGGCTAACTTCATTCTCTTGGGATTTGGTGCACTTCCTTTGAACTCTTTTGTATCATTTTGAGATATTAATCTATGCTTGATGTTGTTATTCTTATATTTTATGCTTTGGAATGATTTATTCTTGATGTTTGAGGTATGATTGGAAAATATATCTTGAACCCTAGATCACGGTAAGAATATTTGTTACGTTAATTGCCAGGAATGGAATGAATGTATCAATTGCTTAACACACTAAACCTAATGCTGGAAAATCTCTTAATTGTGTGAGGAATCAACATTTATTAGTTTTTTTTATGAATTTCATGTGTGAGGAATCAACATGGATGATTTGAGTAGGTGACATCAATATTGTTAGGTTAATTAACTTCTTAATTGACATAGTCATTACAAAAGAGGGATAAGGAAGGAATTCAATCCTAAGTGTCTTTAATTGATATTTTCTCAACAATTTACAGTTCTTTGTTATTTAATTTCAATTCAACTCTTATTGAAAAACTCAATCGGTTTTAATATACTTAGTAAGCATAATTGGGAATTTCCATTGAAACCGTTCCTCGTGGGATCGACTTTTATTTAATCGAAATACTATATTGCGATTGATAATTTTGGTACGCTTGCCAATAATTCAACAATTCATCACTTTAAAATTTAGAGTACACATTTATCATCATCATTAATTGAAAAGTCTTTACAAAGTAGAACATTATCAAGTTTTTTATGTCACTGTTTTGGTGCTTATTTTAATCCATACAAAGATTTTAAAAGTTTGCACACTTTATTTTCTTGACCAGGAACAACACACCCTGTTGAGTCATATAAATTTCCTTCTCTAATTCACCATTCAAAAAAGTTGTCTTAACATTCATTTGGTGTATAACCAGCTTATGGATAACTACTAGAGCTAACAAAACTCGAACAGAGGAAATCCTAGTCACAAGGACAAAGATGTCAAAACAATCAATGTTAGATTTTTTAGTAAAACTCTTTGGTACTAATCTTGCCTTATATTTATCTATGGATCCATCATGATGATACTTTTTCTTAAATATTCACTTACAACCAATAGGTTTTGTTCCTTAAAGTCCAAGTATTATTTTTCTTAATTGAATCAATTCCAGTCTTAATTGAACATACAATCACAAGTTTTAGAGCCTATTTTCCTTTTCTTAGGATTGGATAACATTACCTTAGCTAGGCACCCCACACTCTATTCAAAGTCAGAGTCTTTTCAAATGTGAGCTTTAGAAGAATTTTTCATTTTCCTAAGACAAGAGTTGTTTTGTAATCACCGAGATAAACATGTTATTCTCCATCCCCACACTAGTGTAGGAGGTAAAACACTTATGTTTGCACAGACGTGCCTAGGAGCACCAGAGTCTACCACTCATTTGCTCACATCTTTAGCTAAATTTGCCTTAAGAGGATTGTCGTTTCTCATTCTACATCTGCACTAAAGTGGGGTTAGATCCATTGGTTTCATACAATATCAAACTCTTTCTTTAATTCATTTTTCCCTGTTTCATTGGTGTAATAAATCAGAAAAAAAAAATTGTGTTTGACACCTGTGCTCTGATGCATGCTGATAGTACTTGATCTAAAATTTTACCTTTCTTCCATCATAATTATAACATACAATAATCAATTTCATACATGATTCACCTTTAACTCAACCACGTAATTTGTATTTTCAATTAAAATCAATTACGGGGTCATTCACATTCACACACAGGGCTATGAAATTGGTTTTAATTTGAAATTGATTGCAGCTTAAAACATAGATTCTGATTTATTGCTTTATTCAATTTTGGGAAAATAAATTTGAGAATTAATTAGGGTTCATTATAATCTGATAGAGAAATTCCTAAATTCATAATTAGGGTTTATCTTAATTTGAAAAAAACTATCATAAGAGAAAATTCATAATAATAAGACTAACTTTCACTCTTCCTTTATCCAAGGGTATAGAGTTGTTGTTGATATCCTTACTATCAGTGTTAAGTCTAAGATTGTTGTAAAAGCTGACAGAAACACAAATAAACTTTATTCATGAGACGTGTATAAATACTGTCTTAAGGACTTATCTGCAGTGTATTGCACAAGTTTCCTAAGATACAATAGGAACTTCTCAGAAATTTCGAGCATCTCACAAACTAGCAAGAAACTCTTAAAGGAGTAAATAAATCTAGGATAATAGTAGAACAAGAAAAATACAAAAAAGAGAATATGAGAGAGGTGTGTCTTAAATAGTGTGAAGTGATATCTAATTGAACCCAAAATTATAACTACCTAAATTCTCTATAACATTGTCAGTAAACTTCTCAGTAAAGTCCTTCGTGACATTCTCTCTAACCTTCTAAGTTTTGCCATTCCCTTATTTTACAACAAAAAATGATTTTAAAAAAATAAACTCGCGTTATATACCACGGCTTCTGCGATTTCTAAAATAAAAAATAAAAAGCAACAAATCACAAGCATGTTTTTCCTTAAGAACTCATCTCCCACGCACGATTTGGCAATTTTGATATTTTTTTTAAAAAACTACACCAATTTAATAATTAACTATTAAAATTATTTAAAGTAATTCTTCTATTGGAAATGATGATCTAAAAGTTGCTTATAAATCGAGTGTGAAGTTATTTTTTGAAACTACTGAGCTTAACTAAAAATATATTATTTTATTATTACATCAAAGATCATTCGCATATCAAAATTCAAGAATTCTAATATAATCGAACCATACAAAGCTGAGGGAGATACTTTCACAGCAAGACACTCCACTGCGCGTAGTGCAGACGTGATGCCAGTGCAGACATGGTGGCAATGCGAAAAGGGAAGAATGAAAGGAGATGAGGCCAAGAAGAGAAGAGTAAGAGAGGAGGAGGAAGGAAAGAGACAAAAGCATGAGAGAATCAATATAACATAACAATTTTATATTTATTGTCTCTACCGTTAACTCATCGATTTTCACTAACACCTATAAAAAATACAAGTATTCTTTAAAAAACAAGTGTTACCTTTTTCTTTCAAGTATTCTTTCAATTGCTTTTCTAAATTATAACTCAAGTATTATTTACATCTCAACTTATTCAGACTTTTACACAATCTAAAAAAAAAAATGATCGAAATACAAATTTAAAAACAGACAAATATGAAAAATGAACATATTATTAAACAATTTTTTTTACCATTTTTAAACCAGAACCCTAGGATAGGTTTTTTCTAGGGAAACTTTGAAATATGCTTAATTTGAGGAAAGTTGGTTAAAGAGACAAGTTCTTAAATGTATACATAAAAAAAGAATGGAGCAATGATAGGTGATAAGATTGTGAGGAATCTGTTACCCTGCGTTAAGCCCAAGTTGATGCGAAGGAGGTGTCTCAAAACAATTGGGCCAAACAAAAAGTCCGAATCTTAACGAATGAGAGAACCCCACGTGTCAGAAATTCAGACATTATGGAAAATGCTCAAAATAATGGGCTCCAGATAAGCCTCTACCGCTCCGTGCCTATTAATAACCAAAATCCATTCCCTAAACACGCAAGCGCAACAAACCCTTTTGGTGGTCGAACACAAATTAGGGTTTTCCCGACCCTAGGGTTTAGAAATTACCATCTTCCACCCCCAAATCAAAACCATCACACGAGAAGAAAAGGAGGACAATCATTCGTTGATCGGCGGAAAGAGAGAGCCTCACCTCCGACGCGATGACCGGGAAGGCGAAGCCCAAGAAGCACACGGCCAAGGAGATCGCGGCGAAGATCGACGCGGCCACAACCAACCGCGGAGGGGGGAAGGCGGGCCTGGCGGACCGGTCCGGCATAGAGAAAGGCGGGCACGCGAAATACGAGTGCCCACACTGCAAAGTCACGGCGCCTGACGTGAAATCGATGCAGATTCACCACGAAGCGCGTCACCCTAAGATCCCCTTCGAGGAGGACAAGGTCGTGAACCTTCACGCCTCGCTCGTCACCGAATCATCGAAGACTCGACCCGGCGTTCGCGGAAGCCACAAGAAGTGATCGCAAACGATCGCTTAATCATCGCTTATGTTCTGGCCCCTTCATACTCTGTTTTTTGTTTTTTTTTTCTTTTCTTTTATCTGTCTAAGTTGAACTTTTTAGGGTGTTGTTGAGTATTGCGGGACGTGGTATGCTTAGTTGTTTCATCGAGGGAAGGGGCTATGATCCATATTAGGTGTGAATGTGATGATGCTGTGTCTGAAGGGACAAAGAAGGGTTATTTTTTGTGGGAATGAGATTGACTTTGCTGTATGGGAGCCCTTCTTTTTAAGGATCGCATGTATATTGTTCCCTATATTGAAAGTTAAAGTGGTGTTGTTGACCTAGTACTAATTTGTTTTGTGTGATAAATTCCGCTGGATTGTGGGTTCTTTTTTCTTTAAGGTAATTGGTCTGTGTTTATGATGAATGTTGAAATAAGGATTGATCCAATATCTTATGGGAGATTGTGTTTAGGGTTAGTTTTAAGTGAATGGGTTGTGTGATGTGATTTTTTTGGCCGATGTTGGTTAAGAATAGTTATTATGTAGAAGGAGAATAAGATCAAAAGTTAGTAAAGAGAAGGTTATGTCAGGACCAAATTAAAGTTTTCTTATGTAGTAATTGAACCTTAATTATTGGCACTAAGTGTAGAATTAATCTTAGTGGAATAATTCTTCAATGAACATGTTCTGCCTGAAACTGGAAACGGTTTGACATTAGTATAGGCACAGTAGAATTCAAAACGATAATATTAAAAATCATATTAACATGTGTTCTTCCTACTTTGATTCAGGAGTTTGCCAATTTTAAAATTAAGTTAGATTGTTGGATAATGAATTGTGGCAGTTGATGGTATGCATTGCCTTATTGATTTTATTTCTATTTTATTCTAGCTGGTTTGATATTTCTATTTAGTTGGTTTTTATGCTTCACTTTTGTAGTTACAAATTATAGATTTAAGTTATGAGGAGTGCTATTGGTTCGTTGGAGTTAGAATAGTGTTTTATATATTGCATTGGAATTTGGATCATGACCACTCTCTTCATCGTTTTTACAATATGGTCTTGTCATTTCAACCAAGACATTTAAGAAAGAAAAGGAGGTGTCTCTAGAAAATTGTGGGTGGAGAAAGTTGGGCAAAGGTAGCAACCAGAACCTGAATAACAAATTTAATGAGACACATGTGAGCACACGCTGATTCTAAGGATGTCATGACAACATAGGACACAAACCATAACTGATGTTACTAAATTGATTGATATTAAATGCTTACAAGTGAGTGTGTATATAATACTTACAGTTTGAAGAAATTTATATTTAATTGTTGTTACTATTATTATTATTATTATTATGGTTTAATAAAATTTTAACAGTGTTGTTAAATTGTTGATGCTTGTTGCTAGCATATTATATTATATTTGTGTTATCAATTGATTTAACGAATAGTTTTTTTTTTTTATGGAGAACATAGAAGTTCGTGTCAATTAATGATTTACATATAAAATAATTAATACCAAAATATATTTATATTATTAGAAAAATATAACTCAGATAAATAGTGATCAGGTTTGAATTTATATTATTCTAATGATTGTTAGAAATGTATAAGCAAACAAATGTTTTAAATTTTCATACAGGATAATCGATCAAGTTTCTCATCTAGCAAGTTAGTTAATAACGTTTAAAGTTTAATTGAAAAAGAACATATCCTTATTCCGATCGGATAAAAAATAAACTAGTCTCATGGATAATATCCGAATAAAAGAAATTTGTACATATTTAATTGAAAATTTTGTATTTTTATTTTTAAATATATTATAACGGAAGACATTACTTAAATTTAGTACCGTCTTATATTTCACTTAAATGTATACATAGAGATTACATTTTACATTTAGAATTAATACTATATATATATATATATATATAGAGAGAGAGAGAGAGAGAGAGAGAGAGAGAGAGAGAGAGTGAGAGAGAGAGAGATGAAGAATTTTTGTTACTTATAAGCTACGAGAAAAGAAAAAGGAGGAAAAAGCGATAATATCAAACGTGTGCAACCTACAACTAATTTTATCGTCACGGGAGAGAAACTTAAAGTCATCAAATATTTTTAAATATATTACTTATATTTTAATTGTTAACAAATAATATATTATATAAAATGATATTAAATTCACATATTCATTTTTAATAGATAATATACTAATTAAATTAATATATTAATCGAAATAAATATTGAATAATAATTTTCAACTAATACGCATTTTGTCTTACAAAAATTATATATACTAATTTCTTTCACAATATATGAATTATCTAAAATATGATATAATAATAAAATTCTAATAATGTAATTTATTATGAATAACATAAGAAAAAAAATTCTTCATTACTTCCAATTTTATTATAAATTTTAAATGTATTACTTAGAAATTGATGATACTTTAATTATATCTCATATATTTTCATTTTTTCAATAATTAAAATATAATAAATAATTTATTAGTTAATATAATAATTAAAAAAAATCTTATTAACAGAATTAGATAATATTAAATATTAAAGCAATCTCATTTAATATTATTCGATAAACATATTCAAATGTCTATTACTTAATAATAATAAATAAGATTTATTAATATTTATTCCATGAATATTATCACATGTAAATTTATCTGTTCAAATTATTAATATTCTATTGATGATATTTATTTGATAAAAAATAATTTAAATTATGATTATAAAATATTTGTTTGTTATTGTCATAATTTATTTTCTAATAACAAAATGTTAAATTATAATGAAAAAATTATTATAAAATGAAATTATCTACGTGATAATTAGATATTAATCAGGCACATTTGTTTCCAATAAATATATGATAAGTTAACATAGGGAGAGAACACCAATTTGAACTTTAACTTGCCAACACATTTTCCCGATCTTAATTCTAATATCAAAACATTTTTATATAACTTAAGTATATCTTTGAGAATTAAAAATATATTCAGACCAAAACAAAAACTAAATAATAGAGTTTTACAGTAGTCATTCATTCATGTGGAAAGGTTCAGACAAAGTTATTCCTGTCCTATTGAAATGAAATGCTTGACAGAAAAGATGAACATTATCACGGTCATTGAGTATAACACAAATTAATTCAGTATTGTTAATTTCCAACCAGTATCTAGTTACAAATATATGTAAAAAAATTCATATTTTGATTTTCAATAAATATAAAAGAAATGAAGCAACAGGAGTCATAGGACCCAAGAACTAGTTACAGATATTGGTAAGCTATTTGTATAAAGATATTATGGATTGTTTTTGCAATAACAAGAAAGAACTGAAACAAGAAAATATAACCGGATGGAAGACATTGGAATACTAAACAAAAAACATCAGATCTGCTGCTGTTGCTAATAGCTGTGAAAAGGAGATTATGAAGGGAAATTTTGCATGACACGTTGATAAATGGTTGGTGCTGCTGAAGAAGTGAGTGAAGCATTTGCGACATCTATTGAGGGAATGCACGAGCCATATATAGTGTCATCCTTCTGTTCCTGCTTAGGCCTCAGGAATACTGTATCAAGGTCCTTCTTCACTTGCTGCCCAGAAAGGAAAGATTGGATATGGTTTATTGGTTTTGCACGGTTAAAACTAAGTCCAGAAACTGAAAATTTCCCAGATGAGGGAAGATTCAAAGGTAGTGTCATTGGAAAATCAGGGAACATTGAGGCAATGGATCCAGCTTGAGGGGCAACACAACGATCTGGGTTCAGTGCATAGGAGCCAAAAGGCATGGTGTTATTCAAGGAAGGATACTTCATTTGGCAAAGGGAAGGAGGACCAAACTTAATGTCACCGCTGAAACTTCCAACCAAACTAGGCCTGAGAAACTCATTGCAGAATTCAGGTTTTCTATCAAAATGATGTGCAAGGGTTTGATGAGTCTCAGACTTAATGCCAGCACTTCCTGGTAAAGCAAGAGCCACTTGCCCATTGGCACCATTGGCAGGTAAACCACCATCACTTGAGTTTAACTGATTGTTGGTTCTTGCAGTGGGCACTTCATGATTGTGTTTTCCCTCATAAGTAGTAAGGACAAATTTTAGATTGTGTGAGGCCCTTTCCACATGTTTCCTTACCATACATCCAGCACTTGTGCATTTGTAGTAGCTCCTGTAAGATATCCATGAGAAAATGTTAAATGCATATCAACTTATAAGCTCAGGTGAAAAAATGCATGAATGCTGTATCTAAGAGGAAGACAGAACAGAATGATAACCACATAAATATCCATAAACAATACCAAACAAGCACACTATCAACTTAAGAATGAAAATGTCTACTCTTCAAAAGTAGCAGTGGACAAGAAACAAATAATATCAGCATTCAACCATAAGAAATAAGAATCTAGAATAATTAATTAATATGTATATCTCCTTCAATCTATTAAAACTCTACAAATAGTTGAAAACTTAAAACTTCATCTGAAACCACAATAGCCCAACAACAGAAGCAAAAACAAAAACTTTCTCTTACATGAATCACTGGATGTCATTGGACACATAACACCATTGGGCACAATGCCCCAAAACTATATATAATACTTCATTAAAGATAGAACCGCTACATCAGAGGTATATTTCAATCAATTGAGGACAAGTATAAACAGGCCAGAAAGAACAGAAAGAAAGGCAAGATCATTACCTAGGATTTGGATTTCCTTTGACAACCTTCTGTCCATACTTACGCCAGCGATAACCATCATCAAGTATGTCCACATCACTCTCAATTTGAACTACCACTCTTGGCTCACGCACAGACCTAGGGTGCAAATTTGATTCAGCTGCATAGCTCTCTTTCTTCCTGCAATGACAAATTAATGCAGAAACATTTTAGTTTTCTTTCCACTTGTGATAGGGCCACAGAGACATTATCAGATAGAATATAAAACCTTCTTTTAGGTTCTGATTCATCATTCTCAGCGTCATCTTCAACCAACAAAAGTGCTTGAGTGGCTGCATCTTCGTCCATATCATGACTAGGAAGTGTAGAAGAAAGCTCCGGAGTCTCCTCCGATTCAAACATAGATAGAGATTTAGCTTTGTTAGTTGATGTAGGATCTGAAATCTCAGTCACAACGGAAGTTGATGATGTCCTCTCCTGACCATCAGCCTTCCAATCTAAACTGTTTTTTGAATCTTTGAGTCCTGACTGAATATTTCTCCACATGAACCCACTATCCACTTTAGCTAATGCACGATCTTCAGCCATGTCTGAAATCTCATCAGTAGAAAGTGCAGATCCTCTATGATTAGGGTGTGGTTTTGCATGGTTATGAGTACCCTTGTAAATAATTTCTGTAATTTGGCCATCATGGGATCGTTCCACCTTTTTCTTGACCAGGCAATTAGGTTGTGTGCATTTATAATAGCTTCTGGGATACTCACTACCTTTGACCTGTTTTTGCCCATATTTCCTCCAATTATAACCATCCTCTGAGGTCCTTGCCACTCCTGTTGCATGAGACGCTTCTTTCAGCTCTCCTTCTAAAGCAGGTTGCCCTCCAATATCCTCACTATTGATAGCATTTTTGGGTATTGTGCTTTCATCGCTTACTTCTTCAGAGCCAGACATTGGCATCTCAACATTATTGGCATTAACAATCGCATCATTTAGCATTTTCATATCATTGTATGAATTTACTTCACTATTTTTCACAGAATGGCCTTTTGAAAAATCTGCTGGGAATGAAAAATCTAATGGTGACTGAACTTGGCTTTCTCTATTTCCTCCCTTAACCGAGTGGAAATTACTAGAAACCTATTGAGTTCAAGGTTATCAACCAAATTCACTAGTGTTGTTAGTAAAACATAAATTGAATACATTCATTTAGGATAATATCTGAGAATAATACAGCTCATGGGATTTTTCAAAAAACAAGACACAGTAAGCTCGGTTTAGTATTTGTTTAAAATTAATGCTATCAATGCCAATGTTTCAAACTTATTGTGAGCTACAGTGCTTAATTGACACAAACTTCTACTCTCTATTCTCTGCGTCAACCACATCCAATGAGATGGTTTTCAATATTCAAACCATACAGAAAAAGGGAGGAACAGAGTATAGAAGAAATGCACCAGCAACAGAAAGCATCAACAATTTAATAAAAATTATTTTCATGCCCGTGACAGAAACCGGCATCAACAATTTAATAATTATTTACATGCTTCTGACAGAGATAGCACAACAGAACCCCAATTACATTTGGATTTGTTAATAATAAGAAAAATAATTGACGACAACAAAGAAGGGTACCTGATTCAGAGGGGCAGAATAGGGAGGAAGCGAGGAATTAGTTTCCTGAGCTAGAGGTGGCAGCATGAAGAAACTACCAGTGGTGGGAGATGGCACAGCCTAGAACAACACCAATTTAAAGAAAATCAAACTTTTATTGAAAAATTCAAAACAAGGAAAAGGCTGATCATTAAAAAAAAACTCAGATGCAGCAAACCATTCTCCAATCAAGATTGAAATTTTACCCAGACAAATCTGTGATCTTTAACGCAAATTCTTCTTTTGTGGATCATTGACGAGAAACTCGAATTTTGATCGAAAAAAAAAAAAAAAACACCAATAGTACCTAAAAAATTCCGCATATAAGCTTTGTTTTGTGTGATTGTGTACATCATATACATATAACCAAACCTGAGAATTTGGAAGCATGACGGGAGAGTCAAGCAATGCAGTGGGGCTGATGCCAGGAGGGATGGTGAGACGAGGTGATCGAGCAGCAGGGGAAGGAGAAGGGGTTGTTGAAGTTGCAGTTCGAAACATTGCCGTGTTGATTCTTGCAGCATTTGAATTGAACCCTCTCCTCTCTGCAATGCTTCTTTTTGCACCTTTTGAGTCTGACACAAAAGTTTCTTCATCACAATTGTTGCTGTGATTGTTAAGATTGTCCACTTCCATTTTGAAAGGAAAAGGAATCAGATTTAGATTGGAAATGGAGATTATTATGAAGAGGGTGAGGGTGGTGAGGTTCAGCTCCCGGACAGTGGAGCTGAAACCAATGAAAGTGAGGATTTGAAGTTTTTTCTGCACTGAAATCTTTGCTTCCCCATACAACACAAAACCATGTTACACACCCATTTCTCTCTCACACATACACTGTCCTGTATATATACACAACCATAATGTTTTGTCTCTTCTGCACAAAAAAGGAAGATTAAATAATAATAAATAAATAAATAAAACTTAGACACCTTACCATGTTAGTGTCAATTTAGTAAACAAAATAATGCAATAAAACTCAATATTCACAATTCATATTAATCATTGCAATGGATTAATTTAAAGTTTTGCTCTTTTGTACCATAACATTTAAGTTTTGGGGATAAGATTAACAAATCTAATTAATATTTGAGGTTAAAAAATATTATGTATCTTTTCAATTCATTTTGTTTCATGTTTAAAGTAATTAGGAAATTAAATTAATATTATAGTTTTAATAAAAAATATTATTTAATTTCCCAATACACCCTTGTATTTGCTATTATTTCATGAATATTTTTTATTTTCTTTCTTCACGAAAAAATAATTAAGAAAATATTGATTTAATGTTTATTTGAAAATTTGTTAAAATGTTTTTTTTTAACTGAAATTGAACGGAAAAAGAAAACTTATGAAAAAAAATAAAGTTTTATTGCGGTTGTCAAATGAGAACTAAAATGAAACGATTTATTGTTGTATTAAAAGGTTTGATAAAATGAGACAGAAGAAGTATATGGAAAAATAATATAACTCAAAGTTAATTATGGACACTTATATTATATAGTATAATTATAATTTTAATTGATGTAAACAAGAAATTCTAACGGCACTTTCCATGATTATGCACTTTTATTTTTAGCATAATGCATAATTTTTGTTTATTAAATTAATTAATGAAGATTAAAAGGTTTTAAGTTGAGAGAAAATGAGTGAAGTAGTTATGACACGTTGAAGGTTACGTAACATAATATAGAAATGAAATCACTGGTTTCGGAAAAAATTACATGTGAAAAATCTGAATTAACACAACCGCACACGTTGTTGTTACCTTAAAATATTTTATTATTTTTTGTTTTACAAATTTTAGTTTATGTTATTCAAATCTATTAACAGCCATTTTCGGATCAAAATTCTTATATTAGATTTTAATCTTCTATTATTGTTTCCTTTTTTTTAATTCTGTTATAACAAGTGGTGTTTTTATTCCTTTAATGTCTCATACTATATTTTATTCTTTTTTTTAATTTATTGCAATAAATTCACAAGAACTGGTATTATAGAACACATTTATTATTTGACCTTGACCCTCTCGAGAAAATACAATGAAATTATGTCCCTTTTTCAAATAATAATAAAATTGTTAAATATAAAAAATAATGGTTGCTTATAATAATCTTATTTAGCTTAAATAATCTTTAAAATAAAACAACTTTTAAGTGTCAATAGAAAGCAATTAGAAAATTGTGATTAAGGCTTTTTCTCCTATTTTTAACTAAATTTGACTTGACCAACTTTAATGACATGTTAATTACATATTATTTTATAAATATTTATTTAATGATACCTTATAAAATATTTAAATATTCATTAAATTTTAAATTCACTATTAATTAAAATTTTAAATTCACTATTAATTAAAATATAAAATGCATTGAATTAATTACCACCGGTTTCATACACTGCATCGCTTTTACAATTTAAAAACAGATTATAGTTATTTCATGTTAAGTTTTAGTTGTGATAATATTTAAATTTTTTATTTTTTTTCATTTACATTATTTCATTTTTTTTAATTAAGATTTTAATTACTTACATTTATTTATTTATTCAAAACAAATATCTTTTATAGAATAATATTTATTAATTATATGAAGATTAATTGTAATAGCATTATGTATTTGTAATTATTTAATGACAGGCTATAAAATATTTTAAATATTCATTAAAATGTAGAGTTCTAATTATAAATAATTGATTAATAGAAAAAGAGTATGGTTTGTAAGGATGATTAATAGAAAAAGAGTATGGTCTGTAAGGATATCAAAATGCGCAGCCCAAGTTTGACCCACGGGCAAGTAAAAAAAATATTTTAAAATAGACTAAAATTTATTGTCTAATCCTAATTTATATTAGGTTAATGGATATTTTTTATTTAATTAAAAATATTTTTTATTTATATACATTTTTAAAATTTTATTTAAAAAAATATGTTATTTATTTAAAATTAAATGTATAAAATCATAAAAATCAATTGTTACGATAAGTTAGTTGTTCATGCAATCAAACATATCCTACCAAAAATATTATATAACACATCATATTTTATCATAAATATTAGATAATATATCTTTTAATTTTTTTTTCAGTTAAATATACTTTGTAAATATCCGTAATGGAAGTATTTCTAATAATTGGTTTAAAATATCATACCAGAAATATTACATAACACATCTTTTAGATTTTTCTTTTTTGTTAAATACACATTATAAACTTCTATATTTGAAGTGTTTTATAAACCTCTATAATAAAAGAGTTTATAATAATAATTGACTTAAAATCAAGATTCAAAATTTTATTTACCTTATAAACTCTCTCATACTCGATATAGTTAAATTGAATATTATGTTTAATAACACATTTAACAAATGCATATTGATAAAATTTCGAGTCAAATTTCCATTACTTTAATAAATTAGTCTTATTATCCAGACATAAGGTCCACACTAATAGTTTGGAAATATACTAGATTTAAGAAAATGTGATGACACCAACAAAGAGAGAGGAGATGACAAAAGCAAATGAAGGATAAGTTTAGAGTTTATTATTATTTTTAAATTATATATATATATATATATATAACAAAATATATTATCAAATTAATTTATTATATATATATTTTTAATAAAATAATATTTATTTTATTGGTAAAATAATTATATAAAATGGATCCATTAGCTTACGGACTAACCTGACTTCGAGCCTATTTAAATTTGGTCTTAAGTTAGACAAAAATTTATCTCATTTTATTTATCTTATCATGACCTAACCTTACCTTTTTCTTTTTTATCTTTTGGGGTTGTCCTAAAGTGTATCTTGATAATACCCCTAATGGTTTGATGAAATTTTTAATAAATGGTTATATATATATATATATATATATATATATATATATATATATATATAACTTAAAATTAATTTATTATAAATTTAAAAAATAAAATTATGTAAAATAAATTTTTCGAATAAGCTAATTTTTTATAATAATATTTATGAAAAAGTCATCCAAACTTATTAAATAACTAATTTATTATTATTTTTCATACAATATTTATATAATGTAAATTAAACAATTATAAAAAATAATTAATCAAATTGTTAAGTAGCAAGATTCCTAGAAATAATTATTTAATCTAAATAAATTTATATGAACTCTTTTAAGTATATAATCATTTAATTGGTTCTTTATTCATATAAACCTCGAAGAACTAAAATAATCAATTATTAGATTTTTTTCTTCCGTAGCATGTTATTAAATTTATAATTCAGAAATAACATCATTTTATCAATATTTACTTGACTAATATGTTATTCAATTTATAATTAAGAAATAATATCATTCTATCAATATTTACCTAACTAATACCATTTTTATCTATACAATTGGAATTCGGTTCTCAGGAGGTCGAATTTTGACCTCACTAATTAATATAATTTTTAAAATAAAATAATATTTATTAAATATAATAAATAAATATAAATATATATATATATATATATTATAAAATAAATATATAAATATTATATATATATATATTTATATATTTATATAATTATATGAAATAAATATAAATATTTTTTTAAAATAACATAAAAATATATTTATATAATTATATTATTAATATATTTTATAAAAATAGTAAAAATATAATAAAAATATTTAGATATTTCTATAACAAAATATTATTTTTACTTATTAAAATTATTTTATATTAAAAATATATTTAAATAATATATATAATTTATTTATGTAAAAATGTTATATAGAAAGATATAAATATATATTTATTAAATTTTATTATATTTATAAAAATATAAATAAATATTTAAATATTATATATATATATATATATATATATATATATATATTTGTGTTTTACTATATTTATAAAAATATATTAATAATATAATTATATAAATAATTTAAAATATATATATATATATATAATATTTATACTTTTTTATATAAAATATATATATTTATATTTAAGTAATGTATTTAATAAATATTATTTTATTTTTAAAATTGTATTAATTAGTGAGGTTGGAATTCAGACCTCCTAAGAATCGAAATTCAACTGTGTAAGAAAATTGTGCTAATCGGGTAAATATTGATAGAATGATGTTATTTCTGGGTTATAAATTTAATAGGATGCTAATAAAGAAAAAAAATCTCAAAATGTTTGACTTTTTATAAAAGTGTGCTACCCATGTAAATATTACATACAATATGTTATATATGAACATTTATGTTAAAATAATGCTAAGCGGGAAAAAAAATCGAATTTAGCCTCTTAAGAATCGAAATCCAACTGTGTAAGAAAATTGTGTTAGTGTTAGTGGGAAAAATTGATATATGGATCGAGAAGCGGAAGGAAAGAAATCAATGATCGTATGTTAGTTAAAAAATTGATAAATCGAAAAGATGGTTGGAAGACATTCGATGACCATGTATTAGTATGAAAACATCGGTTGAGAATTGAAATCGAGAATTGGAATCGAGAATCGAAAGAAGAAGATTCGATGACTATTGCTGAAGGAAATCGAGAATTGGAATTGAGAATCAAAAGAAAAATTCGATGATCATGGGGAAGTAAAAATCGATGAAAGGCATTGAGTATGAAGTTAAATGGAAAATAAGAAGCAATTCAAAGTACTCGTTATCTGGAATCGAGATCGAGGGGAACAGTTATCATGCACATGGAACATGGGAAGTGGCTTTCCAAAATCATGGCTAAATTAGAAATTGAGTAACGGTTAAAACGCACATGAAACGTGGAAGCGGTTTTCTAAATCGTAGGCTAATGTAAAAATCGAGGGACGTGCACATGAAACGTGGTAGCAGTTTTTTTTAACTGCTCTTGGGAGGTTACATTGAAGGATGCCTATAAATAGAATGAAGCTTGAAGAAGAACGAGAAATTGACAGAGACTACAAAAACATAAGTGAAAAGTCTACCGGAGAAACGACGAATCATCAAGTTTCTGGCAATTTGGATTTCCATTTTCATTGATTGTCTTTACCACTTTCTTTACTTTCCCTGATAATTTACTTTCATGTAATTCACTTCCATGCAATTTATGTTCGTTCAGTCATTTACATTTATCAAGTTTAAGTTCTTGTCATTTCAATTTCTTGTCATTTACCTTGATGCAAGTTAAGATTCTGCGTTTAAGTTCATCGTCATTTACATTCCTGCAATTTCGATTTCATGTCATTTACATTTCTGCAATTTCGATTTCCTGTCATTTACATTCCTGCAATTTCGATTTCCTGTTGTTTACATTTTTGCAATTTCGATTTCCTGTTATTTACTTTCCTACAATTTCAATTCCTTGCCATTTACATTTAATGCAATTTGAGTTTTCCGCATGTTACATTTCTCTGTAATTTAATATTCTGCATTGCTTTTCGATTTGACACTTTTTAATGCTCTCTCTACTTCGTGTTCCTTAATGAAAAATACAAAAAAAATAGTACTTTCGATTCTCATACATGTTTCGATTGAAAACTGTTTGCTAGCCTAAGTAAAAAGAATCTACGTGGCTGAAAGTTGGTTAGAACCTAAGTCTCTTAGAAATCGAAATCGACCAAATTTTCACCAGAAATAGCTAGTCAGGTAAATATTGATAGAACCATGTTATTTTTGGGTTATAAATTTAATAAGATGTTAATAAAGAAAAAAAACCTTGAAATGTTTGACTTTTTATAAAAGTGTGCTACCCATATAAATATTATATACGAGTATGTTATATATGAAAATTTATGTTAAAATAATGTTAAGCGAGAAAAAAATCTAATTATTAAGATGATTATGAGTTATATCTATTTTATAAAATTCATATAAATAATTTTTTTAAAATTATTGTTACAATTTGTTTAACATATTATTTAAAAATTGTTATAAATCATACGGCTTACAAATAAAAAATCTTAGTTTTCTCTAAAAATATGAATATGAAGTTCAATAAATTTATTTTTCAGACAAATATCTTTACTCATTATTATTTTATTTAAATAAAATATAGTTATAAAATTCTCCTCTGAAATATTAAACATAATTACATTTGATCTCAAACTTTAATCCATTTTGAGAATTCATTTCAAAATTCATTTAATAATATCCTTAAATTATTATTTTGCATTTACATTAAAATTTCTTTATTTTCTCCAAATATTAAATTTATTTTTATATAAATATTTTCTTGTTGTTTTTCGTATAAAATCATATATTCTCATGTTCGAAAACAAAGTTTATTTATTTAACATTATTTATATTTTTGTTATCAAATCTAAACTGTAATTACATATACGTTATATTTATTATAATTATAAATTATAATGCATAAATTTATTATTAATTAATGATATTTTCAATTATCAATTTATTAATTACTTTTACATTTTTCATCTGCGTAAAATTTTATTTAAAATACAGAATATCAAAAACATTAAATTGATTATATCACTCAAAAGTAAAAAAAAAAAAAAGAAGTCATTTATATTTTATAAAATTGAAATTATATTAATATTAAATTTGCATTTGAAAAAACTGTAAATTTAAAATAAAAATAAAATAAGACATGCTTAAATTTATTAGATGTCCATCCATGAAATAAAAAAAATAAGACAAAATTCTAATAAAGTTTCATAAAATATGAGATAAGTGTTAATTAATTATTTATTAAATTTAAAAATAAAAGAATTATATATATATATATATATATATATGATTTATTCAATTTTCATTTTTTTATTTTAATAAACTGATGGATCACGTAGATCAAATAAAACACAGATCATCTACTATAGACTGATGTTCAGAATTAATAATTTTTTTTCCAGTTTCAAATATATAAAAAATCATCGATAATTAATAAATTTTGATATATATATATATATATATATATATATATATATATATATATATAATAGTTAAAATCATTTAATTTACTAATTTTATTGGTTTAAAAAAATTAGAATTTGATATAAAATAAAAAATGCAACAGCAACTTAACGAAATGTTTTACAAATAACACTACAGAAAACTAATTTTTTTTATCAATTTTATTAAAAAAATTATTTAAATTTATAGAAAACTTATTTCTTGTAATTTTTATAAAAATTTTGCAAAAATATTCTCATGAAAAATGAGAATTTTTAGTAGTTTAATATCATTAAAAATAAAATAAAATTATCAAATGTCATGTACTCGGAGAAAGTAGTGTTAGATGGAGCAGAGTATAAGTGAATTTTTTTATCTGGTTTAATATTTATTTAAATTAACTTTTGAATGTTAATAAATAATAAGATATTATTTTCTTTTTTATATTTTTATTTATTTTAAATATTATATATTATTAAAATATAAGTTAATTATATTATTTTTTATTATAATATAAAAACTAAATTATATTTAAATAATAATAATAATAATAACAATAATAATAATATATAAAAGTTTATTTGAGATGAAAAATAATTATAAAATATTGGAATTATTTTTTAAAAATTATTTTAATTTATTTGAATTTTATGACTAAATTAAAAGAATTATATATTTTAAAGGAACCATTCTGCCAATTATTAATATACTATATTTGTTCTATGTATCATTTAATATATTTAATTATTTTATAAGAGAAATTAATATTAAAAATATAATTAAAATAAATAATTAATATTATTTAAAACTTTATATATATATATATATATATATATATATATATATATTAATTCCATACTCTTATAAAGGAAGTAAATACATGCTAACAAAGTAATTTATTAACAACGATCTAGACAAATTTATGAAAAAGAAAAATAAGGAATGAACTATAAAATAAAAAATGTACAAGAAAAAAAAGGATAAACATATCTATTTAGTGAATAAATTGATAAATATTATATTTAATTTTTTTTTATAAAATATATTATTTACATTATATATTTACTAAAAATTTGAAATTATTTATAATGAATTATATAAAACAAAATATTTAACATAAACGAGTAACTTAAATACAAAAATAAAATATAAACATTATTTTTTTAATAGCGAACTTACTATTGCTTTGAAGAGTATATTATCATTATTGTAAAAATTATTATCATACAAGTTAGTCATTATAATAATGAATATGAGTTATATAATTTTTTGGTAAAAAATATGTTGTTCGTAAATTTTATTTTTTTAGCAAAAATGATTTTAGTAGAGAATTTTATCTCTCCGTCAAAATAAAAACTTTAACATAATATAAGAACCTTTGCGATGTTTTTTTTTTTTTTCCTCTGATATTTTTTCTTCTTCACTCCCATATTTTTTTTTTTCTTAAAACGAAGACTGCTCCTTTTAATTTTACCTATGAGTTTTTATAGATTCAAAATGGATGAAGATTGGTAGAAAGATTCAGAATTTTGTTTGAATTTGAGAGGTTTTCAGGATTGATTTAGGAAATTGGATGATTGAAATAGCAAAGAAGTTAAATTTGGTGAAATTAACTATTGAAATTGCAGAGTTTGTGTCAAAAGGTGACTGGTATGTGTGAAAAAAGAAATAAAATTAAAGGGAAAAAAAAACTCAAAAAGGATGTGTGATAATAAGATAGAGTGTATTTAGTATCAATTGGTGTAGATAGTGTAAATAGTATCAATTTTTTAATTATTTTCGTGCAAAAGACCAAACATAACTAAATAAGACCCGATAGAAAAAGTAACGACAAAAAATATTGGATGGTAAATAGAAAAATATTGGACTAATATGGTAAATAAAAATAGTTAAGGAAAAAAAAATTAACACTTAATATTTTTCTCTATCTCCTCGTATACAGCGGGTTTTATTCTATTTTTCACTGAAAATAGAAAAAAAAAAAACTTGAAAACACTTTTTACTATATTGTTGTTTCTATAATTTTCTTCTAAATTTTTATCAAAAAACTAAAAATATGGTAAAAACTACCAAATTTTTGTGTGATTATAATCATCAAGACGTAAACTAAATTTGAGATACATATATAACCATACGCGTCATGTATCTTGCTTATTATTAAATTATTTTAATAAATAAGATAAAACGAGTTATTTAAAATATATGTTTAGCTTATGATTAAATTACTTTAATAAATAGGATAAAATAAGTTATTCAAATATACATCTAATTTTTATCATAAAGATTAAAACACAAGTTTTTTCTAAACATAAGATCCATCTTTGTCATATCCAAAAAAATAATTGTTTCCCTCTTATAAATGACTCCGAAGATGAATTTTTAATTTTTTTTTCTATAGTCTAACCTAACCTAAATATGAAAGATTTTTCTATAAGAGCGAGGTTGAGGTGAGAAGATAACACAAAATATTACTTTTTCAAAGCATGAGATGCAGTGGAAGCTTACAAAAGTTCACACTTATAAAAAGTTCACACACTTATAAATCAAGCATAATATAAAAACTAAGTCAAATCAATTTACCATCCTCCTTCTTTAGAGTAAGTAAAATTGGCCCTTTAACCTAGGCACACTGATTCAGAGTCCTCAACATCATCTTCCACAGACACACTTGTCACACTTGTTACATCTTCTCTGGTGGTCATGCTAATGTTGGATGCTGATGAGCCAACAACGGTTTCTGGCACACCACCATGTCCCAGGGTAGTTTTTCTCTTGCCTCTGCTTTTTCTCCATTTCCTCGACAACTCAGAAACCTCATTTTCATCTCTTGCTTCCCCTACTAGTAACTCTCCAGGTTCTTCACTTGCAAGTTCACTCACCACCCTATGAGGACTTGAAGACTGTGGTGTCACCAGAAAAAGGAGTGGCCTATAACAGCATAGGAGAGTCATAAGAAGTCCAATGTAGACATACAAGGACACCCAAACATAAAATGTCCACTTCCAATTTCGAACCAACTCTTTAGTCCAAGGTAAATTGGATTTTATCACCATTTCAGCTTCATAAAGCTGTGGAAGATATGATGTTCCTGCTCTTGGATGCAAAGTTACTCTAATAGCATTGCTTCTTCTATGGTCTTCTTTGTGCCTCAGTATTTCTACATTGATATTCTGAGTCTCCCCTGAGATTCCTAGCAACAGAGGCACGCCCATTATAAAGGTACGGGCTAGTCGAACCGCTGAACTTCTGAACCTCAACATGCATGGCTGGCTAGATTTTGCTATCACGTGTCCATCCACAGATAGTAGTTCTGCGGTCAACTGCAAGAATGTCTCTAAAATTAGTTCTCAAAGAAATAGATCCTAGATCAAGGATACAATCCCAGTAATTGAAGTCATACCTGAAACACGCCAAGCTCCTTATTGAAGTCAGATTCAGGCATCACAAGGACCAAAGAAGCGAAATATGTGTGACCAACTGGGATACTAATTTGCTTTTTCGTTAGGTGATCCTTAAAGCTTCTGACTCCGTTGAAGAAAAACACAGCTGTAGGGTGAGCTTCAGTGTAATCAAAATGCAGATTTTCCTTAACAGACACGGGTTCCTCCACCCAGAACCGAACTAAACCAACACCCACCACAGTAGCCAGAAAAAGTACCAAAATCAGAACCATGCACACATAAGCAACACTCAGTAGGCAAAGTCCCAGTTTCTTCAGCAAGAGTTTGCTACCATGAGTGATTTGAGAAGGCACACGTTGCACTGATGATTCAACATTGTCTGTGGTCTCCTCAGCACGGTGGTAGGACTCTGAGGCAACGGAAAAAAGAGAGCATACAGGGGAAAAGACAGAAACCAGGCCATTGTAGATCAAATCCGTTTGAAAGGATAGTAATTTTGCGAGTGGTGTGGGCAAAGGAAACCCTTCTTTCATGTGTTCCTCCATGGAGAGAGGAAGTGGAGAGGGGTTTCATAGGGAGATGAGGAATACTTTGGGTTGGGACGGAAGGGAAAACGCAGGCAGGTGCAGTATTGTTGTATAGAGTGGCAGCATACGTGTCATCTTTATGAGATCAAGATAGTGTCGTGGCATTTTGCATGGGAAAGAAAGACACGTTACAAACTATGACTGCAGCGATACATTAATTTCCTTCGGCTGACAATGTTTTTGAACTTTGGGGCACTGAAAAGCCCTTCATCAAAACATCATTAGGAATCAATCCCATGGATTCAACCTGCGTGATGTAGCAGTTACAAAATTTTAATTCATGTAGAATTGAAGCACAATCATGCTTCAACGATCAATCCACCACGACTACAGCGAATGTCATACGATCAGGTTTTACCAAAGTTTTCATTTAATCAAATAGGAGCTTCTCTGGCTTGGTCATTATCCTAGCTAGATTATGGTACTCCATGGGAGTAGAGTACATGTGTTGATTTCATAATAAAATTCTTCGCAATTATGTTAAAATATTAATTTATACGATCTTAAGTGTTTTTTATTTATTTATTTAATTTCAAATAACAACTTTGGTTATGGATCTTGAATTAATTTTGGGTTGAACCGCTGTGTAACTTTTATGTTGGATAAAAAATTTATATTAAGCTTTATTATCAGCTTTCTTTAACAATAAAAACATCCAAACATAAATAGTCTCACTTTAGAATAAATTTTAACAAAAAAATAATTTTAATTAAAATAAATTTTACCAGCATTCCTTTCTACACACTACATTTTTTTTTTTCTTGCAAATGATCAAAAGCTCTTGTCCTTTTAGCACACGCCAGACTCCCACATTTCAAGTAGAACTCAACTACGGCTTTTTGAAGAACCAATTTTTAGAATCCACGACCATGAAAAAACTCTGCGACCGTGCCTATTGAGGGATGTCACATTTGAACAAGCACAAACCACAGTACATAGATTTCAGTGGCATAGCTTGGTCATAAGCCTCAATTACGCATGGCCAACAAACCAAATCAACGATTCCATTCTCCCACGTCGTCTTCATGCATTCTCATAGTAGCACTTTGCATTAATCTTTACAACTCGAGTTCAATTTCTTCACTTTCCCAATTTTATATTCGTTTTCATGTCATCTCTCCATACATCCATTTACGCCTGCCTGGTCCAATTCCACGGTTCAGCAGCTTTGAAATAATGACACCCGTCACAAAAAAAAAACCCTTTTTAGAGGAAGCACCAACCATGGACCTCCAAGAAACCTATTCTTAGTCATTTGATAGAACACCTGGGAAGGTGAGCTTGTCGCGCGTGATGGTGAAAGTGAAGGCATCCCCACTAATCGTGATGGTAATGATGCAAACTAGCAAAAAAGCGTCACAACTACAAATCCACCTTTAAACAAGAAAAAAACCCGTGGCTTAATACCTAAAGGGAGTTTTACTTTACAAAGGGCCGTACTTTGCACGTAAGCAAACAAACCGATATAGTAGAGTTTTATAAATCTGAAAACGATAAAGGGGGGTGGGGGGATTACATGCTCATTAATGTTTATGAGTTCTAATATCCATATGCTGCTGCTGCTGCTATTTCTAAACAAGAGACAACGAGAGAAATAAGCTACCAAATTTATAGCACAAAATATACCGATCTTTCCTGCTTCGGGTCTCTAGAGCGGATTATTTTACAGCAAACTACAATAAGATCATTTGGTCAAAATATGGATATGTATATACTTTTGCACTTAAATCTAGCAGACAACCATTAACTTAATTTATGAGGGAAAAACAAGCCTTGGTGACAGCAATTCGAAACAGAGATAATGTTGGTTGAAACGGACAAACACTCCAACCTACTTTCATCAAGGGGATCTTATCGGTTATAATTTTGTTGAAGCCAGGAACTGGGTCAAGAACACAGGTGTACCAAAAGCACAACGCTAGGTCGTGCTGTCACATAAATATAGTCCTTACATGAATTGAATCAAACAGACAGCTCGGTTCGAGAGATCAGAATTCCATCAGTGTCTGCATAGAGCCATTCGCCATCACAGATCCTTGTCCCAGCAATATTTATGGGAACATGCTTTTCTCCCATGCCTTTCTTATTGGCTTTCATGGGATGGGAAGCTAGGGCTCTCACCCCTATATCACAACCATTGATCTCATCCACATCTCTTATACATCCATTGACAATAATACCGGCCCATCCATTGTTTTGAGCTTGTACCACAGGGTTGCCACCCAAGATGGCACAGCGTAAACTCGCTCCTCCATCAACAACAAGCACTCTTCCGTTGCCTTTTTCTTCAAGGAACTCACGAACCAAAACATTGTCTTCAAACACCTTTAAGGTGACTATAGGTCCAGAGAAGACCTGTCGACGACCATAAATCTGAAAATTTGGCTGAAGGGCACGAAGCTCCCCACTCAAAATTAACTGTGGGTTCGCATCACACACTTCAGCGGTAGTGACTAAGGCCATTTACTTGAAAACCTGGAAAAGACAAAAAATATCAGATGTGTGAGACTAGTGTTATAACAAACGGAAATCAATCCTGGTTCACGAATGAAATTGAATGTAATGATATGTGGGTATCATGGATATGGCTACCCTACTCCTGGAATTAAGAAAAAAAAATTGGCTCCTTTAATGTGAGTAAGAATTAGAGTGTACTATGGATTTAACTTATTTTAAATCAACCATTGTTAGATCCTTATTTTCTTAACTTAAACATTTCCTCTCTGGAGATGCAAATCCTAAAAAAGACACCAGATTTATAACAACAACTATATCATTAACAACAGCACAAAAACAATAATAACCAAGACAATATTTGTTTACTGTAGTGTCAGGTTTTTATGGCCACTGCTTTTTATCTAAAAAAATATCTAATAACTATAAGTAATTAAAAGAATTTATCAGAATATTTTAATGTTTCTCCCAATATGCTAAAATTATTTCATGCATTGGTTAGAATCAGTTTTTAGAGAAACTAAATGAGAAAAAATGAAAACACTAACTTATATTTATGCTAGCTTTAACTTATGAGTGAAGCTTAATTCATTTTACCTTTTCTTGCATTTTCTCCTGTCAGCGTTTAATGAGAAATTAATCCAAACATGGCCCAACAAGATTTTCTCAATCAAAATATCAGAACAGGAAGTCCTGCTAGTGAATGTCCCATGGATACTTGCTAAGAAATAAAAATGTGGATGGTTCCTATTACATATCAAAATGAAGATAACTTAACAATATTAAATGTCATAATTTCCAAAAACATCATTCCTATTTGATTCCTTAACCAATATGGATAGCTAACTAGTCTCTGAGAACAAAGGCACTTGGTACTAATTTGCTTCTCATTGCATAGGTACATGCATTTCTATCAGCCAAGCTTGCATTTACATATAAAAACCTTCAAAAATCTGCGTAATCATGTAATTGATATCTGAGGTGTTCATTACAGAACTCGTTCTCCACGATTGATATCCTTCTAAATGTTAAAACATCGAAAATAAATTGGAAAATTCACAAATATATTAATCAAGGCCAAAACAAGGACTTAACATGAGCAACCGAACCTAGAGAAAATCAAACAGGCAGTGAAACTAGTATTTAGCTATAATCCTAAATCAAACAAACACAGCGAGATCAATGCGGTTAAGAGCTCAGGATCGTACGGAGAATAAAAACAGAGTGAATCAGCGCTTAAACCTAAGCATCTTGTTTAAAACTTCCAAAAAACATAATTAAACACGGATCAAGTAACGATTAGAATATCTACTGTAGAAGAGAGAAAAACGATTTGAAAATCAAGAGGTATAGCGATTGAGAATGAATCGGAAAATTAAGAGAAAGAAGAGACATACCGATGGAGAAATAGATCTGACGTTTGAAAGAGATGAGAATGAAAATGCGGAAGGAGTTAAAGCGTGGAGGCACGAGAGAGATATTCTTGCCTTCCCACTGCATATATATTTGATAGTTGATAGTGCGTGAAAATGAAAATCACAATATTATCAACACAAATACCTCTGACTTGTGAACGGGTCTTAAGTCTTTACCATGTAATTAAATAAATATAAATATAATACAACATTTCAACATTATATATAATTACTTTATAAAAAAATATATGTATTAATAATTATTATTATTTCCATTTCTCACAGTTATTGACTTTTTCTTTTCTTTATTAATGATATTTATAAATAAAGAAGAGTAGTGATATTTTGACAATCAAAAATGATTGAATTCTTTAAACAATTCATTTTTATTAATATAATAATCTATAGAATGATTTAATAAAAATAAAAATAAAATAAAATTATTATTATAATATTAAAAGAGAATTATTTATAGGAGTTGTATAAATTTGAATGGTCAAAGTGTAATCTTTTATAAAATACGTTAAATCATCAGAATTTGAAAATAAAAAACCATGTTACTCTTGATCATTATTCCTTGTTAGTCAAATTGAAATTAAGTAGCATGAGATTTAGCTACCATTGAGAATATATTATTTTAAAGTCAAATTTACGAGAAAACTATATAGTCTGATTAAATTTATATTTTTTTTCTTGGATCATGTTGATGAAAAATAAAAGTTTATAGAATAGGTGACTGCAATTCCTTTAAAAAATATTTTTTTTATGTTTTATTTCATAAATTGATCAAAAATCATATAAAATATTATTTTTAAATTCTTATTATTATATAAAGTAATTGAAGTTCGGCCAACAAAAAGTATATTCTGATTAAATCTTTAAATATATACAGAACCTGAAGTTATCAAACAAAACATCATAATGCAACCAAAAAAAATATTATGTAACAAAAAAAAATATAAACAAATAACGAATGAGTTATTGAAATGAAATGAAATAATACAAATAGTTAAATTTTCACAAATAAATACATTAATATACCCCAAAAAAAATTACCACAAATTATTAAAAAGAAAATTGTCATCAATTTCACTTTGTACAGAAAATTTTTACAATGACAATATAAAGTTCATGCTTGTAATGTAGAATTCAACTTGTTTTGTTGAGTTTTATATTGAAATTCATTAATATTTAATGTATAATTACTTATTTTATTTTTAATTAATAAAGCATAATAAAAAATTATTTGTAAAAAAAATACCATATAAAATAATGGCCCAGTTAACACTTTTAAGAAAAGAAAAGTGAAAAGGGATAAAAAAAATGTGAAAAAAACAGTACGTAATTATAACTCTTGTATAAATAATTACTTAATTCAATATCAAGCGTAACCACTTCATTCAATTCAATAAATTGCTAAGCACGGATATTTTGACTTGTCGTCGTATTTGTCATCGCACGAATCACAACCAAATATCATCACTCATCCGGAATCAGTCATGAATTGGTCACTATTGAAGATAAATCTAATTCACATTTTCATTAAAATAATACCAGATGTATTTATTACATTCCGTCACCAATAGATTTTGAAAAATTCTTCTTCATCATACTTCTTAAAAAAGTCTCCTATATTAAAGTATCTCTATTTCTCTTTTATATGAATTGAGAAAGATAATTAAATAGGCAAGGTGCTACTAGTCACAATAGTTTTAAGCTGATTTAAAAAAAAAACTAACTTATTGATTGCGCCAAACTTAGAGATGTGCAAATGAATTATTATTTATGGTATGTTTTTTATCTGAAAATATTTTCTCATTTTTATTTTAATTTATTCTTAAACCAATTTGAATTTAAGAAAAACTTCATCTTATGGTGTCCAAAACAAATGAGTCATCAAGTAAATATCCGTACACCGTGTGAATCGGAAAGGCCACTTCACTAGTCTATTAGAGCACTAGAGCGGTGCAACTCATGCTTTGTAGTAGGAATGAGAATCAAACCCATCCCGTTGAAGATCCACATACCCAGGTTGTGAAGTTGACGGAAAAAAATCAAGTTGATAGAATTTGGGTTTTTTTGGTTTTAAAAAATCGGGTTCGGAAACAGGAATAGGTAATACAATCTCTACCCTCCGTTCCCTAACTTTATATTTAAATCTAAATTCTAAAATATTAACCATTTATCTGTTTATCTTCTTTTCTTTTCTTTTTTTTTAATATTAATTATATTTAAATTTAAATCCTGATATATTAATTATATTAAGCAGATGATTTTTTATCTTTAGACAATCAATAATACATGTCTTGTTTATGGTGGTAGGGATTTTTTTATATACAATGGAAAATAATGAAACAACACAAACAAGTACACATGAATCATTGTTAAAAGAAAATTCTAACCTTGAGGGTTCTACTCCTACACCAAATGAAGTCCCACCAGTAACTAGAGATAATGAGCATGATGAGACTATATCATTGGGATCAAATCGGCTTAAAAGTAAGATTTGATAACATTTTCAAAAGATTCAAGTTAATGAAGAGGACAAGGCACAGTGCAATTATTGTAAGAAACTTTTGGGAGAAAAATAAAAAAATGGGACGAAACACCTATGGCAACACAATGATAATTGTATTCAATTTAAGATTTCTACTAAAAGGAAAAAATGGGACGAAACACCTAGTATAGACTGCGATTCCCATTTCACAGCGAAGTAGGCATGGCAACGAGCGGGGTATATATCAAAATTTAAATTTAAATATAATTAATATTAAAAAAAGACAATCAGACAAATGGTTAATATTTTATAATTTAAGTTTAAATATAAAATCGGGACGGCATCTTCACTCCCTGCTCCCGATCTCGATTTTTTAAAACGAGAAAAATACAAACCCGATCAAGTCAATTTTTTCCATTAACCTCGGAACGGGGACTATTTTGATTGTATGTACTCTATGTTTCTGTACCTCCACACGTGATCATGATATTTTCCGATCCTCAGTTTTGGAGACAAACGTTCGTTAATCATTTCTTTTTTTTTTAATGTTAACAAAAATCCACTTAAAAACACCGACACTACGACAAACTTGATTAAAATCACTAACATCTTACTTATTCCGAGTGCTTGCCTTCTCACAAAATCCGAAATATGCAGCAAAAAATATGCTAGTTTAATTGCTCTGACTATCATTGAAAATGACAAAAAGACCAACAACTTCCTATAGGGCACTGATCCGTGAATTCTTCACAGAATAGGTCATTTACGTTCTTATTGGATCGGAATACAGGTACCCTTCATCACAAGATGCGGCAAGCTTCTCTCTGATTTTTATGTCAATTTGTGAATTGTCTTCATGTCAGTGATCTCGGCAAGAGTTTCTTGCTCGAGATGGTCCCACCATTTGAATAAGAAATTGTCCACAACTAGTCTGAACCATGGGGACAGCTTCAGACCTTCCTCACCTGCATCAGCTTTCCTCAACAGCTCCTTCAACTGATCACGGTTCACATACTTGATATCAGCCACTTCATCAGGATTGGGATTCACATTAACATCCCGGACAATAAAAAGCAGATAGTCCACTGAAATCAAGC